TCTGTCTTTATAGGGCTCCTGAATTGTTTTATTTTAGTGGAGACAAACACTTAAAATTCTCCTACACCTCTTTACATATAATAAATAAACACAGACACAAACCTATTGTTCTTGTTTTATTAAGTGTTGCATATTATTACTAAATTTTTATTCGGTGTCTGGTATGGAAATATCAGACGAGGACCCTCAGAGGGCGATGAAGGCACACCAATTACTGCAGTCTCAGATAGATAGGAAAAAAAAAAGGGAAGAAGAAAAAGAGGAGATTAGGGAGGCAGCTAAAAAGCAGAAGAGTCTTGGGGACTCCAATGATAAGCGTGGGGATTCGTCCACCTCCTCTGTTGCTACGTGGTAAGAAGAAAGTTAGGGAGGTTAAAGTCGCCAGTAAGCCCGATTTCATTGAGAAATTCAAGGCGGTGACTGAGGGTTTGTATAATAAGATTTTCAAAGCCGGTGTCACTGGGCCAGAGGTGAGGTCGCTATTGTCTGTAGCCAACGAATATGAGAAGGTGCTCATGGAACTAGTTCGTGAAAATGCGCACTTGTCCGGTCGTATTGCTGAACTAGAAAAAGCTGTAGGTAGCGCTATCAAGCCCGTGAAGGTTGGTAATGTCGTTCGAGGACGGGACTGCTTGATCGGAACGGATGCAGAAAAAGCTTGATTTAATATATTGTAGAATGACGACAGAAAGCTATCAATACTTCCCACTGAGAAATCAAGCACAATATGAGAAAGATGTGATATCGATTTCCTTCCTCATTGAGAGAATATGGAAGCAATTTCCAACGAATTTTCTTTTATTGATGGAAAGGGAAAACGGAAATAATTATCTGTCCAGGTCAAGTGGCAAACCCATGCAAGTCAAGGAAAATTAATACTTTTACACTGATCATAGAGACCATATTATTGAGTTATACCATTAGAAAGTTAAACATTTCGCCGACGTGCATAACACAAACGAATAAGCCATGCCTTTCGATTTGTCTACAGAGCATTTCTATATCTATTGAAATCATGATTGGAACCTAAACATGTTTTTTGAAAAAACAAAAGTGATTTTCATTTTTCTCCTTGTCACTCGCGTCAATTTAACTTCGAAAACCAAATAATTGATCCATGTATTCGCCCGTAATTCATATACAATTAAAGTTTTTTTCTCCTTCTTCTTAAGTGATGGATAATGGATGAACCATTTTCTGAATCGATATAAGCTTGAAAATCCTATTGAAAATTGTTCGGATCGATCAACTTTTTCGACCACTCTCGACCACATAACGCTTCACTTTAAAAAGCCGTTTTATGAAAAAAAATTTCAAAAGTTTTCGATGCAATACAAGTGTATATTGGTATACGCAGAACAAGGGGAAAAGAACTTGAAAAAAAAAAATTTGTATAAAGAAATACAAAATATTTGACATTCTCTTTTAAAACAAATGCGTAATAATTCATTACATTTTATAAAAAATATAAAATTGGCTCTGGCACGTATATATTTCGGGACAATAAAATGAATCATCTTTCGCAGGATGGAGGATTTTCTAAGAATTTATTCGCGTCTTTATTTTGATAAACTTTGAAATCGTTCATCGACGACACATCTATTTTGGGAGATCGAACTGGAGTTGAGGGCGACGAGGGTGAATCTAAACAGATAATTGTTAGATCAGCATCAGTTTTCTGCTGCACATCCACGCCACGATGCTGACCCGCTATTGCTGAATTACCGTTTATATTTGATGTGGACACGGTGGATGAAGTTGCAGATGAAGTATTGATCTTACACGCAGGCCGTCTCTTAGCCAATGGCGTATCGTCATCATCCGAATCACTTAAAGTTCAGTCCACTGTTTCACTATTTGTGGTGGAGGAAGGTAACTCGTTCGAAGTAACTGTAACCGAAACAGCAGCGGCTTTAATTGGCTTAACATCCTCTGTGGTAATGAGTTCTATATCGTCTGAAATTACTTCCACTTTTTCCACCGGCTTAGTGGGTATATCTAAGATTTGCGAATCTGCTCTGAAGCTATGTGTACTCCATGAACCATCTTTGTGCAATTGAATTTCGGTATCATCAGATTTCAATAGATTTGAAGCTAAAACCTCTTGAAAATAACCGTCAATTACAAGATTGTCGAAAGCTGCAGGCTTATCACACACAGGACAATTCCACGTACGTTTGCGTTCATTCATTTGCAAATACAAGTTGGCATCGAAACATTGCAAATGAGTATGGTATGGACATCTTCATTTTTCCCAAAGGACAATTTAAAGTGACCTTCAGCATTGTCGTGGCAATCTCACAATCAGCATCTTCACGCAATTTTTCTTTAATTAGAGCTCGAGTATAATCCGCTGGCTTTACACCTTTAGTTTTCAGTCGTGTCAATAGTTGGGCAGATGTTAATTTCTTAACAAGATAAACAGCGATGCAATATCCGCGAGTATAATCCGGCGACCATTGTACAGTAATGGTATTTGTTACTGTTGGCGATAGTTTAACATTTGAGGTTACATTTATAGGACGTGGAGGTCTTTTGGGTTCCATATTTGAACGCGTTTGTGGTAATGCATTCGGTAGCTGACACATTTTGTTATTCACCTTAACGGCCACACTAGGTGGAAAGCAATCATCTTGGTCACAAGATGTCTCCAGCAAACAGAAACGCAATTGCACTTGGATAGCATGTTCAACTTTTGAGCTGCTACGAATGTCACGATTTGAAGCAATCTCTGTAGCCTGTTGCGGTGTCAATGTAAAGTAAAATGGCACCTCTTGCATGCGTTGGGCATTACGAGGTACCAGCGATGAAGGTTTAATCAATGTACCTAAGACGTCGTAAAAAGCCAGCTCAGGTGGCTCAGGTCGGTCCTTCCCTTGGTCTAAGAGTGCACGGCATTAAAGCCAGCCAGGGGAGCGGTGGAGCGATTATCCGCACTACCTCAGTTGAGGAGAGGGGAAAAATTCTGATCAACACTAAGTTCGCTGAGGCAGGTCTTGCTGTGTCCGTACCTCAGAAGATTGGTCCTAAATTAATAGTGCGTAACGTGGACAGACAGATTGGACCGAAGGAGTTTATAGAAGAGCTCTTCAAGCTGAACTTCCACGACAAGGGTATAACACGGGATGACTTTGACAAGTCCATTCGTCTGGCTTCCCGTCCATGGGCTGCAGGGGATGGGCAGGTTAATGTCATCTTGGAGACCACGTA